GCAGTGTACTGCATCGATCTGCCTGTTCTGCTCCCCACTGTCTCTGGTGAATCCTCTAACCCTCCGCATCTCTGGCCTGTACCCCAGTTCTGTATAAATAAATAAATCTTTAAAAAAAATACAGGTTACTATTATTTGCAAATTAACACTTTATCGAACCCTGCCATGTCGCTTTTACACACCGTGTGTATTTCTTAATGCAGATCTGAGTTCTCTTCCTCTGTTTTGACCTAGTTTTGACAACAGGGTGTTTCCCTTGATAACAATTTCCTATCAGATGATTTTACGCTCACTTCAGGTTGGAATTCAGGGGTGACCAGGGGAAGCACAGTGACTAATGTCCTGAGGAAAACTGGTGCCTACTTTTTTTTTAAGCTTTATTTATTTATGCATACAGAACTGGGGTACAGGCCAGAGGAGCAGGGGTGGTGAGAGGATTCATCAGAGACAGAGTGGGGAGCAGAACAGGCTGACAGATGAAGTATACTCCTGAGGGGAGCAGCTGGCAAGTCAGAAGAGGTCCGCTGCACCATATGGGTCAGCTCCCTGGCCTGGAATCGAATTCATGTTTCAGTGGATTCAGAAGTGATCCGCTTTAAACCGTTGTGCACCAGGGAGGGCCCAGTGCCTACTGTTTTTACCAGCTGGGAACAAGAATTTCAAATTGAGAGGTCATGTTAAGTCAATTGATTTTTTTTTTTGTTTTTTTTTTAAGATTTATTTATTTGTACAGGCCAGAGGCTCAGGGGCGGTGAGAGGCTTCACCAGAGACAGAGTGGGGAGCAGAACAGGCATCGATGAAGTACACTGCTGAGGGGAGCAGCGGGCGGGTCAGGAGAGGTCTGCCGCGCTATGTGGTCACCTCCGGGGCAGGCGGGAATCGAACTCATGCGGAAGTAGCTTTAGCTTCTCAGTGCTGTGCTTTAACCTGCTGCGCCACCAGGGAGGGCCCAAGTCAATTGAATTTTATCACATGAACAGTGGAGCAAACAAACTGAGGCCTTCAAGGGCAACAGCCAAGGTCACAGACCTGGGGTCCCAGCATCTGGCTTGAAATCCCAGCTCTTCCACTTACCAGGTGTGCCCTGGTTTCCTTACCCAGAAAGGTAGCAAATCACTGCCTGTCTCATGGGGTTGGTGCGGACCTACACAGAATACTACGTTTACAGGGATGCGTCATTAAAGCTGGCAGGGCTGGTCAAGGGCAGAGTTAGAAGTTGGGCATCCACGAAATACCAGCTTCTACCTCCAAGTTTCATGCTTTCGCATTACACGACTTAGACCCGTGTCTGTGACCATTTATAAACATAAAGTGATTTCCCTCTGGCTTTTTTAAAAAAAATATTTGTTTATTTATGCGTACAGAACAGGGGCACAGGGGCAGTGAGAGGCTTCACCAGAGACAGAGCGGGGGTCAGCTCCCTGGCCAGGGATCCTGCTCATGCTGCAGTTCTTCGGAGAGCTTCATAGTGCGGCGCTTCACCCCACTGCGCCACCAGCAAGGGACCAGAATTAGTCACTTTTAACCTTGCGCCCCTCAAGCACTAGATTTCTCTTCACCTGAGCATGGACAGCAGAATGCCCAGCTAATATTCCAATCTATACTTTTAAAAATTGCATATAGCTGAATGTAATGAGGGTAGATTAGGAAATGAACATTTCTGTTACTGCTAGGTAGACACGTGTATCCCTGAGCATTAGGCGTTAACCAGCCGGTGATGGGGTTACTTAGTTGTTACCATTTTGACAGCAGCTCCATTCCAGGCAATATGTCATTCATTTCTTCACTCGTTTTCTTTTAAGGGATTTCAAGAACTCTTCTATGGAGACTGGCTTTAACATAACCAACAATTCCATAAGGCTGTTCACGCTGAACGACTCTCTGAGTCCCCCCGTTGATAAGCAAATTGCTCCCTACCCTGGCCTGCAGGTGCCTCTGGGTCTCTGCTGGCCCTACAGTGACGGAGACTTTTCTAAGGACAAAATGGAGCCGCGCCTTACTTTATATTCAAGGGAAGACAACAGCAGTGACGTTTTATCTCCACTGAACTGGAATTTGAAATGTGGAAACAGCAGTGTGGAAGAAAATCTAACAGATGAAAGTGATGTGTCAGAAAGTGAAAAGGCAAGCGACTCTTTACTGAGTTATTTTAAAAAGATGGACCTGAACTTAAAACCAGAGACAATAGAAACTGTAGAAGAGGCTTTCACAGAGGAGTCGAGCGAGGGATTCCTATATCCCGATTTTCTCCCCCCTCCTTTCAACACCCTGGACTTGCACAAATTAGCCCTTTCCAAGTCTGAGAGTTGGAAAGGGACCATGGACCCCGCAGAGAGCTCTGTTGACCGCCTGATAACCCGCTTACTGGAAATGGAGAGATTACAACACGTGACTGTACAGAAGGAGCGGCCACGACTGCCCGGCACCCTCTGCACCCTGGCAGTCAGTGAACGACCATCTTCCTCGAAGGCTCTCCCCAAGGGGAGACAGCCAAAGCCTTCTGATTCATTAAGTCTTCAGACCATGGGTGTAGATAAAAATCGAGAAAAAAGAAAAAGCAATTCTGGGCCTAGCAAACTGGAACAAAATGTGGCAAAATGGAACTGGAACAGTGCTGGCAAATATAAGTGGAGCGCTCGACCGTCGCTAAAAGGCTCTTCCTCTGGGAAACGGCTGGTTGCAACTTACGACGACTTCAGGAGTCCCAAAAGTCCCATCTTCATTCCATGCCAAGAGCTCTCCACTAAGCCCACAGCTGCCCAAACAAGTCCCTCACTGGTCAAAATGGTGTCGGCCAGATGTCTGCCCCCGAGGTCTCCGGTGGCCATTTCACCCTTACCTCTGTCTTTCCCGGAAAGCCAGAGGGAAGAAATTAAGGCGTCAAGGTCCAGAAAGAAACTTCACCGAAAAAATATAGCATTGAACAGACCCTTCTATATTCAGAAGCTAAACTGTTTATCCCCATCCTTTATCGTCAAGGACAAGTGCTCACCCATTGACCAAAAGTAACACTTTCTTTCACTTGAGCACATCTGTTCCCAGGAGTCCAGCTCAAATATGGCTCATGGTTCAGAGATACAGGTAACAGAATCACACTCTCATTTGCTCGACACGAGACAGAGTGGGACTTGTGCCGATCTCTGCCGAGATGCCCCTACGCAGCCCCCGAGGCGCCTGCACGGGCAGACGGGACCTCTTTTGCACATTACGTTTCAGAGAAGTGTGTCACTTAGTCAGGAAGGTGTTCCATTCAACACTGTTTTGTTTCCAGTGTAACTCCATCATCAATAAATGGTGTAATGGTTGTAGTCCTGCTGTAGTTTTGAGTTCTTATGAGGGCCTAGTGAGGCCATGGCTTCCATCACTGATGTGTTCAGTTGTCTGGTCCCTTTTCTGCTTTCCCTCCCCAGCTCCACAAACCTCTTCTGTCTACTCTTCTGACCTCTGGGGATTTGCTTGCTCTTCAAAGCTCAGGTTCATCTTCTGTTAAAGTAGCACACAAGGGCCCTCTCTGGTGGTGGAACAGGTTAAAGTGTAACACTGCGAAGCTCTCCGCAGTCACTGCAACGTGAGTTCGATCCCCAGCCAGGGGGTGACCCACGTTGCAGAGTAGACTTCTGTCTTTCCACTTCTCCCCTCAGCAGTGTTCTGTCAATCTGCCTATCTATTTCCCACTCTGTCTCTGGTGAATCCTCTCATACCTCACCTCTGGCTTGTACCCCAGTTCTTGTATGCATATATCTTTGAAAGAAAAATATTGTGTAGGAAAAATTTGATGTAAAATGTATAGATCTAAGTTTTGATGTTTGGGTCGGGTGTGGGTAAATGCTTTTGTTTCAGTGAGTGGTTGGTAAACTCAAAGTAGTTTTTCTTAAACATTAGAAAAATCACAAGCATGACTCAAACTGCAAACATTACCAAAAGTAAACATGAGAAAAGGTCTCTCTTCACCGTCCACACAAAAGTCAATTTAAATGTTTTGTGACATACCCCTCCCCTCAAATAAGATGGACTACTTGGGTTAGGTGTCAGGGAGAGCAATTAAAGGACAGTTCATGTAAATGTCAGAGTAACTGAACCTCAAGTTTCCTCTCTTCCTGTTAGGAGTGGCACAGCAGTCACCAAATGGCTTTGACCCCAGCCTCTGCCACTTAGCAGCCCTCACACCTCAGGCTGGTGCCTTGACTGACCTGTGCTTCAGACGACTTAAAAGGTAGACGGTAGATTGCCTTTTACCGTGTGAGGGTTGAATGACGTGTCGGAGAAGTATCAGGGAAAGCTGGAAGGACACAGGGGTCCACCATGCCCATGGAGACAGCTCACCGGAGGCGTTAACTGTTCTTCTCAGGGGAGGGCCAGGGACCAGGGGCCTAGCACAGACTTGCGACTGCCAGGAAAGGAGCAGAGTGGTGGAGTGGCCTGAGAGGGAGGGGTGGAAAATGGGCCAGAGGTTCCAGGAACGAATTTCTGCACTCGACTGCTTTGGGGCCTTTGAATGTGGGGAGTGAACTATTGCTGGGTGCCGATGTCTCAGAGAAGGTACTTAAGGGGAAAGGTTTTACTGGAAACATAACCAGACTTTTTAGGAGATTGTATCTTAAAAGAGCCGCTAAGTACACATCTGTGAAGTTTGTCACTGGCATCTAAAGTTGCCTCCAGTTGTGTAAAAAATGTGTTAGCCGTGTTGCTGGCGTCACTAAGTCCAAGAGGCCAGTAATTTCCATGTCATGACCACTTAGCAAAGAGTTGCTGGCAGCCTTTTTCTGCTTAAACTAAGTACCTGCTGAACCCAGGAAGTACATACCACCTCAAGTTCTTCTACAGCAAGGGGGAGGGGGGGGGTTGGGGGGCTCACTTCAAACAGGTAAAAGCCTGCCAATTTGGTGGAGAGAATCAATGGGTGTGGGGGTGAGGCGGTGGCAGTAATCAGAAACCACCTGCAAATACTGGTACTTGGCTACTTTTCAGGCTGGTTGGATGTCAACTCCTCTGGTGATCGTTGAAGGAGCACTGGTGAAGCTTGTCAGAGGGCCCTATGGATTAGGGGCTCTGCTTCGGCAGCTTGGGTGCACGCCTTACTCATCAATTCCCAGGTTTAGTTAATCCACGTATCGGTGTTTTCCAGCTTCACTTTGGTGCTTAGCCAAGCGGGGTCTGACTTCTTAAAATCAAGCACAACACAGGGTTGCTCTTGGGTCTGGAGCGCCCCCTCCTCCCCAGACACTACTGACACCCTTCAGGTGACACACCCAGCGGAACAGACGGGGGCCCACCAAGGTGGCTCTCCGGGCTGCCGCCATCCTGCCATTCCCGAAGCCCCCCCGACGCCCTCCAGCCCTGTTCTGCTGGCGCTGACCACACACCTCCCGAGTCCCCTAATAAAGTGTTTTTTCTGTGCTTTGAACAGCGAAGACCCTTCTGAAGAGAAGAGGTCCGCAGACTCAGGGTAAGAGCCCAGATTGTCAGGCTTCCCTTCTGCATCGAAGTCACTCCATCCAATCACTGAAGAAAAAGGTAGAGCGTGCTCGGTTATCAGGACAACCAGACCAGACTTGGGAGTTCCCTTACAACTGTGTGCTGCATTAACTTGCTCCACGAAATTCTGGATGTTTCTAAGGATGATCAAACTCAGCTGGCGGTTACCCAGCCCTGGCAAGGGCAGATTCTGCCCAGCTGTTTGGTCATCACCCCTCCACACCTTTGACTGACACACATAAAATACCAAGACAAGCAAAGGAAAAAGCAGGAGACAACATTCTAACGAGGAAGACTTTATTAGGTTTTCCCAGTAAGTCAATTGGGAACACTGCACTGCTCAAAAGCAGGTTACAGTTCAAACGATACCAGACAATTAGGATACACATTTTCAGAGATCAGCTTCCATATCTTGATCACTAAATGGAAAGATTCTTCAGAAGAACAGTCCCTTACCCTATACATAGAAGGAGAAGAAAAATTAAAGATGCCATGATGCTTTCTACCAAAACAACTGGAAAACATTTAAAGAGTAAATTCAGTGTGCACTACTGACATGTGAGAAACACGAATGGTTTGTAGTGGACTCTTTATTTATAAGGAGGCCATTCCACCTGGGAGAGTAGGATCCACATGAGTCTACGCATGAACCAGGCCACTGAAGAGCCGCTCACGAAGCCCGATGTCCACAAGGAAACTACGGGCCTGAGTGCCGAGCTTCTTCCCTACTGCCCCTGTACAGGCATTCCTTCACGCTTGGCCCGCTTTATGACTAACGAATTCTTTTCTCTCACCTGAGAGACTTTATTTCCAACTAGCCCTTAGTCAACGGGAGCTCGACTGACAGAAAGGGCAGGAAAAGCAGAGAAGGAATGCAAATATGGGTCAAATGTGAAAACAGTACATGTCATTCATTGCTTCTACCCACCTACTGTATAAAACATTATATAAAAAATTTCCATTCCCTGTATATTTTGTTTTTGTTAGTGGGAAAAACCCAAAAAAGTAAAAATTATATTGTTTTAAAACACAAAATAGTTTCGAGAAAGCAGCAGAATGGAATGAGAAAGAGAAGCATTAGGGAAAAGCAGGATGCTACTCACGAGGGCTTGCAGGTGAACACAAATACTACGAGGGTCTTACCAGGACATTCTTCCCATTAAAACCTCAGCGTTCTAACCTCACTTCTAATAACCTTCAGAAGCTCTACCCAGAGTGTACATGCTCTTAGATCTCAACTATCCCCCCAACTAAAAAAAGAACAATGACCTCTTTGAGGGCTATGTCTTAGGAAGTCTGAAGCCTGACAATCACATTTTTTTTTTTTGCCAGGACCTTCTAAGATAATTCTATTCAAAAGTTAGTTACCCTGAAACGTGAATGCAGGTTTGAAACTAATGATTCAATACTAAATCACCTTACAGGAATAGAGGTCACAGAATTCTAGATCTGTCTCAGCGAAGTCACAAATTGAAAAAATCATGCATAGATAGATCAACAACCTGTCACTTGAGTGCTAACTCGGTGATACCAAAGATCTACAAGAGATCGTCTCTTTCCCTGGGGAAGCAAAACTGACACTTGGCTCAGGAGTCTTTTCAAATCGTGACTAGAGCACTGATGAAACTGCAGAACAGAGCAGTCACGAAACTGAGTCACGAGGGACCTTCGCATTCTTTCTGGGCTCTTCTGCACATCAGGGACCCCACGCCTGAAGCTGAGACCAACCACGGTCTCCTAGGAGCCCCCGGCCACCCTGTGAGGAGCCCGTGGGCCAAGCGCCCACCCAGCCCTCGGCATCACTAGCCCCGACCGCTGCACTAGCCCAGGGGAGGGGGGCGGGCAGGACATGATCAACAAGCACTTTACGATGACACCACAGAGCACGGCTATTCTAAATCAAACATTAATGAAACCCAAATCATAATGCTGAAAACTAAAAATTGGACAAAAATGGAAGATTCTTTTTTGTTTGTTTTTAATCTTTTATGGGACAGAAACCTTAGCTCATGTCTTCTGGTTGCCATCATCTTCCACTGAGCTGCACCTAAAACACAAAGAACAAGTAACAAGCAACTTTGTTTTTTAAAAGAATATGTAAAAGCTCTGAAGGCATAAGATGAACTGTTTTCTAGTGGAAGTTATCTTAATTAAATCATTACAGTCAATGAAACTATGGAAACCACCAGAGGCATCAACACGTGAGCAGCCCCGAGTGGAAGCCACTCCCGAAGACTGAGTCGCAGCATGCGCTCACGGCCTCAAGGGCGGGGTGGGGGAGTCACTGCCGGCTGGCAGGGCAGAGGCTGCAGCGAGAGCCTTGTCTTAAAAGGCTGCACTTCACGCCACCTGAAGACGAAGCCACCTGGGCTTATCTGGACAAGTCTAAGGCAGGAAGAGACGGGGTGCAGATTCAAAGTCGGCTTATTCTAGCATCTATCACCTTTCTGGCTGTGGTTCATTTCGTCTTTAAAGGGAGCAAACCCACCAGAAGAATGCTGCTACTCTGACCTCCCATTCTTGACCGCACCAAAATGTGCATGCTTGTTGTAATTAGGTGCCTGGGTAAATAAAAAAATCCCATTTACAATTTAAAAAATAGCACTTAACCCCCTAAAACCTGGTTCTTTTCCACATTCCTCAGGGAGGCAAGCATGAGCTTTACTGCCCAAACAGAAAAGATCACATACATTTCCGAAAAATCTCTTCTACCATGTTAAAAACACGAATTCCTCTGTGTTGTAAAAACCAAGCGGATTTACATGATTTTGTCTTAAATCGTTGCTAAATGTTTATCTACACATGCTGTCAGAAATAACCTTGTTAAGAAGGTGAAGCTGGTGTCTCAGCAAATCAGACCCTGGGAGAAGGCGTCGATGGCCTGTGCCCCGCTTTCCTTTTCTCTTTCCGCACCATCAAAAGGAAAAGTGAGAAAATAGCAGAAACATTAGTTAAATCCTGAATTATACCCCATACCCTACAGGAATTACCTCTCTACACTGAATGCTGACAATACTTGCAGGGTTTGGGATGAAACAATTAGGACCCTAGTCATCATCAGTAACAACATGATTAGCTTTTTGGCTGGGTTACATCATCTAACAAATATTTATTTTAAAGACTAAAAGGAAGAAATGAAAAGTTGCTTTTAACTATTTATGGTTTACCTGACTTACCAGCACTGAAGACAAAAGCTTTTAAAAATGGCTACAAATGCCTGGTTCACAAAAGACTTTATTATCTAGTGATGCATACTGAGAACATACAGAAATCTGCATGGCCCACTTCACATGCAGTAGAACAATCTTCACTTTACAATAAGTGAGTGTCAACTGTTTTATGCAATAGACAACACTTTAAAGTCACATTCTTAAAGAAAAGCTTCATTTACAAAAGAAATAAAAGGTAAAGAAGCAATTACCGCTTTTAAAAAGCAGCTGCTTTGTTCAAGAGTAGAAGGGTTACGCCTGTATTGAAAGACAACATGATCACAAATAATGAAAACAATGAACAAATGAAAACACTTTTACCATAAAGCATTACACTTCCAAAATGACATACAAATAGTTAAAAATTTCATTATGTTGTCTGTCTAACTTTTAAATATGAGGACTTTCAGAATCAGGCCTCAACATTTGTCATTAGTAAATGAAAGCTACGCCATTTCTATTACTAAGGGAACTGTATTTAACAAAATGTATATAAAGTCTATAGCAAGTTGATTTAAAAAAAATTAAAGTTAGTAAGAAACAGTACACTGAAGGCGCTCTATCCATCAAGCGCGTACTCTTCCAATTTTAAATGTGATGAACAGAACAGAAATTGTAACTATGCCACAGTCGCAATGCCAAAAAATAAAACAAGATCCATTATCACACATGCAGGGAATTCTGCCACAAAGCTAATATCCCTCATTCGTCCATTGCTCCAATCAAATAACATTGTAAAACACCAGTGATGTTGATGGTTTAGCTTACCTTCAGTGTACTGAATGTTGTACACAACCTGCTTTAAAAGAGGAGACCGTCCCTGCAGGCAGGCTCAAGAAGGAACAGACCCCTTTCGGCACTGACTACACCCAGGGCATGCTGCTGTGGCCTGCACACACACCTAGGAAAACGTGAATATAAACAGCATTTACGCTGGCCATTTTCTCTGAAGACCAAACTGAAGCCAAGTCTGCTATGAGTAAATCAACCACCCAACATTACTACTCGTTGATAGCAGGTGCTTTTGTCTTTTATGTGAACTGCAACCATATACATTAGCACTGTAAATCTGTGCAGTCTTGGCAATTAAAACAATTCTACAGTAAAATTTCACGTAAGACACAAAACAGATTAACTAACATTTCTAAAGGAAATATCACCCTTGGTGTTAATTCAAATATATCATGCTTCCTCAAATTTGCTGGAGAAATATTTATAAGTTTATATACATTAATAAACTGCTGTGAGATTTCTTCAGTCTTTGTATCTAATTACTCAAACCCTGGGAGCTTCTTCATCTCGTTTAAATTTTTTCCTGGATGAAGGCATGCTGAAGGGCCTGGTTGATGCTAATCCGTTTAGCCGGGTCCAACATCAGGATCTGGTCCAACAAGTCCTTTAACTGGTGCACTTTTTTGCGCTGGTCTTCAGGAAGTCGCTGGCACCCAATCAAGTCGGCCAGCAGGTCCTTAGTTGGATTAATGGTGCTCATGACAGTAACCTTCTCCTAAAATGATTTTAAAATTGCATATCTCTAAATAAGTTACTAAACATATGTAACTAAAATCAGATTGTGTTTTGTCTATCAAAAAATCAGTATCAGTCTATCTTAAGCAGCAAACACTGAAAAAGGTCAACCCCAATTTAATTAATAGAGCATTTCTAAGTATCACTGCAATTTAATTTGGCTACAAGTTCAAAAGGCAACAGAAAGAAATTCTGAGAATTTGAAAACACTGTTAAGCAATGAAAAAGTTAACAGCAAACAGCACTTGCTTCCTGTCGTGTCAGCCCCTGGCCTGCAGATGCGACACAGACACGGAGCTGCCCTGGAGTGTCGCCTGGGGCTGCCGGGCACACACAGAGTAATGGAGGCTGTACAAAGGCACTCCCAGAGCCCCGATTTCAGCGGAGGCTTGAGGGCGAGTACAATTTTTCAGGGGATGAGGAAGACAGAAGCAAGGAAGCCCGGGGAGGGCGCGGAGCAAAGGCACAGAGCTAGTCCGGCTGAGCCCAGCTGACCGCCGCGACGGCCAGGCAGGGCTCACGGAGCAGTGCGGTCGGAGGGCAGCGTGGAGGGACAGGGCTCTGGTCAGAGAGGACTTGGATAAACTGCCGGGCGGTAGGGAGGCAAAGGGTTCTGAATCAGGGACAGTAACACCATCAGTTTTCACTTCAAAAATATCACTTTACACAGGATCCAGACTAAGAAAGAGAGCTTGGGAGAGGAAGAGGGCCCGAACACTAACCTATAGTAAAAACTCACACTAGTCATCTCACTGACTTCTTCATGTTTTATTGAGGAAGTGGCCAAGAGCAAAAACAAATTAGTTTTAAGACCCTCAGAGCTTCTAGTACCGCCCAGAACTCAGATAACCACAGAAGCAGTCACACAGCGTGCTTAAAAGAGACTTACCCTCTCTGTTACTTTATCAACTTCTATATACATGAAATTGAGGTTTTGATCGAAATGTTGGTCTTTGAACACACCTTTCCGAATCATCTGGTACCCAAAACAAAAACAGAGAGTTCGGCTTACCAACAACTTAATACACGGCCCTCCCTGGGGGCACAGCAGGTTAAAGCACAGCACTGCACGTGAACCAGCCACTTCAGTGTGGTCTGGTCCGGCCCAGAGCTGGCCCACACGGCGCCGCAGACCTCTCCTGACCCGCCCCCTGTGCCCTCAGCAATGTAGTCAGCACATCTGCCTGTTCTGCTCCCCACTTTCTCTGCTGAGTCCTCTCACTGCCCCTGCGCCTTGGCCTGCACCCCAGTTCTGTACATGAGTAAATAAATCTTTTTAAAAAAGAAAAATTAGTACACAACAAGCCACACCAGGATCATTTAGTCTCCGGGGCTTCCTCACTGAAATGATCTGATTCCTGCTTTCCAGAGACATCTTTGGACAAGCTAATAAAAATGCTGTGACTAAAATTGTATTTCTGTAAGTTAAGGTCAAAAGCACTTACCAGGCCGTGCTGTGACTACTCAAAATAGGGACGTGAGCAGACCTGAACACTTGTTCTAGGAGAGTACTGCACAAGTGGGGTCTTTTCTCTTGGCCGTTAAGAAAACAAATGAATGTCATTTTACAGCATCCCCCCCCCCCCCCAATTCTTGAATGTTGTCAACAGGTTGTCGGAAATGGCTAACAAAAGCAGACCCCTGAATGACGTAGTTTGGTGCGCTGGAACCCAGGACTGATATTCTCGTTAATGTGGTATTTAATTGTTCTCTGAGGATCCGCTGTGTCAGTACTGCTAATTTTGGTGCAGCCTATTCAAAACAAGTCCAGTGTGGCAGGGTCTGGACAGTATCAAAAAATCATCCTAATAGCTTCTGATCCACAGGGAAAAAATCTATAAACCTCTTAGAAATTCAGCCAATGAGCTGAAATTGTAAAAAGCTTAAAATACAGTAGCCAGGCAAGATATATCTTGTAAGTGCCTAAGGCTCCTGCTTCAGTCATCAGAGCGCTGACTAGTAGAGCTGAAGCGTGACAGGTGCGTTCTGTTACAAAACTAGTCTCGTGGGCGAATGCTCTTGGTACCGCCCTTTTCCAAGTAACTTCCGATCTTAAGGAACAGCTGGCAGCCACCTCCCCCCTCCCCCCCCAGGATTTGCTTGCTTTGTTCTGACCACCGACGCTCCGTCCCACCATCCAGCCGGACTCATCTTTTTCATTCCAGCTCTCCGGCAGGCCTGGTGCCAGCCCCCAGCGCCTCGCTGCCTGCCCCGAGGGCCCACACACGAGCCAGGGCGGCGGAGACGAAGGCCAGAGGGCATGTGCTGAACGCAGCACACACGAGCCAGGGCGCCAAGACCGCCCGCACTGCAGTTCTGCCCAACCAAAGGTTTCCGCCCTCCTGCTGACAAGGTCTGGAAAAGCACACGATAGGGGACAGAGGAAGGGGCTGTCCTCTTTCTCCCGTCTGAGCAGACCCCGGCGGCGAGAAGGGCAGCAGGGCAGTCGCAGACTGTCCATCTCACGCGGCTCAGCAGCCATCAGGGACTAGTTAAGTGCCAGCAACCCAGGCGTTTTCAGGAAGTCACCACCAAGGCCTTGGAAACGTAGCCCAGACTAATGTCTCACCTTATTTGGCATCTTTCCTTTGAGATCCATGGCGAGCTTCAACATATGGTTATTGGTTTTGCCAGGAAATAGAATTTTTCCTGTATAGAGTTCATATAAGGTGCAACCTACAGACCACATATCTATACCATAGTCATAGCTTTTACCTATAACTGAGAACAAAACAGAAGTTTTAATATGTGTGCATGATAAAGACTACTATTTATCCCCACGAGTGGGAGATTAACTGAGCTTGTACACAAAACCGTATCTAACACTGCACTCTTTCCCACCAGTGCTTAGAGAGCCTTAAACTTAAGTCTTTAAAAAACGAGGGGGCTAGGGAAAAGTAAGGAATTCTTTCTCTTTTCATTTCACCTCTGGCAGAGGCGCTCATCAGCCCAACAGGACAGAGAGACGAAGGCCCACGCACTCCTGACTCTGATACTCAGACCTGAGTCATCAGAGCAGTCTTCGGAACTGAGGGCTTTCCATAACCAATTTGCCACTCCCGCCAGACGTGATCAAGACTCCTGCCACCACTACCGCCATCCACCTGAGGACACGGCCTTGCTATGGTTCCCTTCCTGGTGCAGCTGCTGAAGCGCGGCGAAAACAGCACCGAGACACTACATGTGCTGTTTCCCTCGCATACGATGTCCCAGGCCAAAAGCTCCCAAAGAAACTTACTGATCTCAGGAGCACGATAAAATCTACTGACAAGGTAAGGTGTTATGTCGTTATCCGCCACATGTGAAGCTGACCCAAAGTCACAGAGCTTTAAAATGGTTTTTGATTCATTAACCTGCAAAACATTTTATCATGGAAGTTTAATTCATGCCAAGAACAATTAAGACAAAAACTGACTTTGAGAAGTTATTTTCAATCTTTGAGAACAAACTTACTTGGTTAAAAAATTCCTTTTCTCTTTATAACTCAATTTCTTATGGAAAATTAAAAGCTACCAACTATTTATTGTAATTAGTAAGACAACATTAATCAGTGAGGAAATAAGCAATAATACCAAGTAGTCAATTTTAACGAACAGCACTTAAAAAGGGGTAGGACAGACAGAAAAATCTCCTTGAAGCAAAGTGCCTCCTTTAAGTCCCCCAGAACCTGAATAAAGTTATAATTTAGAGGAGCATGAACATTCATTAATAAGGGATCAGACTCAGATTAACTTTTGATTGACTTAAGGTAACTTTCAGTTGCCAGAAAACTACGTGGCAGTGAAAGCAGGTGGATTAAATTTTTATAAAACCAAAAAAAACATTCTTCATCCGAAGCTGCTGGACTATGCCAAATTTAGCAATCACCTCAACTCTAAAAACATCAAATTCCTTAAATACAAAGGAGGTATTAGTCAAGAGAATGTTAAATACAGTTGGCATAACAGATAAACATCAACTCTGTATTAGTCATTGGTTTCCTTTTCCTCTGTGAATATGTCAACATACACAGCAACAGTGACATCTGCCGAGAAAGGCCGGAGGCGCTCCCAAGACTGCTGGCACTCAGGAGTCGGAAGCATGTGCAGGATTAACAAGTGCAGATAATTCACATTCCAGAGTCCCTTCCCCCCTTCAAAAGAGACACACACAAATTCCGAGTTGGGACTTGAACTTGGCCTACTGTTCCCACCCCAAAGAACATGACACTTTAAATAAATAGTCCTAGGTGTTCTCTACTGGGACGTCATAAAGTCTCATCAGTGTTCAAGATGGGGCCATCCAGCTGGTGTCCCAGAATTAAAACCAATTACAGAGATGGTGACTTCCAGCTGCCACATCGATAACCTCTCTCTCCAGCTGGGGGGTCAGGAAAACGGCATCTTCAAAGGGAAAAGAATTTTCAAAGCTCTTTAAAGAATAAACTGCATCCAGCTACTTAAGAATGCAGTTTCGATACCCTGAGAAAACCCCAGACCATTTAAAATCAGGCTCTCCCAGAGGGACCCCTTGCCCGGCCGAGCAGCGCGAGAGGCAGGGTGTCCACACCTGCGCGCGCCCTCTGGCTACACAACACCCACTTCCCGGGGCAGCGTGGCATGTCCACCCCACTGCTGCTGAAACCACCAAACAGCTCCATGTGATGGTCTCTGAAATACACATGAAAGTCTTTACTAGCTGAGCACTAACTCAAAGAAAAATGAAGTTTTGAAAACAAGAGCTTCTAAGGAATTGACAACGACTTCTTCCTGAACCTCCATGGTGGTCACTCAGATGTTCACTTACAAGCACCTTTGAGTTGTACAGTATACACATCCCTGGATATGCATGGGGTATTCCATTTACAACAGAGCAACAAAAACCTGAGGTAAGAACCAACTGTGAGATGGACCAGACAAACCTGATCATTCACAATGTACCCACCATTTCACTGTAATTACTCAGCATCTCCAACCCCAACTTACACCAGATAGTCAAGTCACATGAAGTCAGAGGGGAATGCCTCATTATTAATGTGGCGGTCTGGAAGGAAACACTTCAAGATTTTAAAGAGATGGGGAACACTAAATGAAGAACTAGATTCAGGAGCACCTGACGGACGCGCTTGAGTCAGTCACATGCGTCAGAGCGCCCGCCTGTGCACAGCGCCTGGACTGAAGGCCAGAGCAGGGCGGAGAGGCGCGGCCAGGATGGGCACTCGGCTGCGTAATCACTGGCTCGATGGCACTACTTCCACATTTCAAGAAACATTTGACCACTGTGAATCTGTTCAGTACCACACCCGAAGCCGTTCGTCGGAGAGGTCAAGACTGGAAGGAAACCTTTCCCTACGACGCCCTGGCCACAGACAGCGTACGGTGTGACCCGCGGCTTCGGAAGTGGTGAAGGAAAAACAAATCACTTCCGGGCCCCTTGAGGCTTAAGGCCACAAGCCCAGCAACTCCCCTAATGTCCCCGACTGCCTGCTCTGGGCACTCCCGGAGGTGGGAACACGCCTTTCATATTTCCACACAGATCACATGCAGCGCGTCAGACGCCAGAGGGAGCACATTACTACCTCTGCATCAAGAGGGAAAAACTGGGAGAGCAGCCTGTTTCCCGTCTTTATACTTCTCTATAAAATTTCATGACCCGATTTCCAAAGAAGCCAACCTTGAAGTTACGGGCAATGGGCAATCAGTATGGCGAATCCTCTCTGGGGTCACTGTGCCCTCGGGGCAGCCGCCTTAACGGTGAGGACACAGACGCAGCACGAGGTGCCCGGACGACTTACCAGGATGTTGTCTGGCTTGATGTCCGCGTGCAGGATGTTACATCTCTTAAGGAGCTTCAATGCCAAGAACAACTGCTGGCTATAGGACCTTACAGCTTTAATATGAAGGCCGACATCTTTACCGTATTTTTTTAATACCTCTCGCAAATTCATACTTTTAAGAGAAAAACAACAACACCACCATCAGGGGTTAAAATGCACAATAAAATTAAAAAGGTAAAAAATTTTTTCAAGTATAAAGTAAACTCAAGTTCAAAATATGTATTAAAATGAAAATATTCTGTTCCAGAACTGCCTCTCCCAATCTTTGAAAAATAATTTTACACTGAAACGAGCCTATGAAACGTTGTACACACACCTGGTTTTCCACCTATAAACGGACACACCCTGGTGTCCGGGTTTGCATTCGGCGACATGACAATAAAGCCATCGTTCGGGTGATCAAAATCTTATTTCTACTCCACTATTCCCATTTCTTTTCATCCCCACCTAGTTTTAATTTTCCTTTGAGGTGAGTGACTACAGAGTCACGCCCAGGAACATACAATTTTCTTTTGGTGTATTAGTGACAGCTAAACCCCAGTTAAAAACTCTTGTTTCTGATCAAACCAGAGACTGGGGCTGAGCTGTCATGGCTTGATCTAAAATGGCTAGAGGGACAGAATTTCTCGGTTAATTCACAGGTTTTGACACTGTACCTGAGAGGCTCAAACACCAGACAGAGATGCTGCTTGTGATAAAAGTGTCTGAAGAGTCGTAAACAATGAAATTTGTCATCAGGATCAGCATCATTAAGTTTTTTCAAGAATTCTAGTTCCTTTAAACCAGTTTTTTGCCTGAAGTTGAAAAAGAAAATTATGATCAACTTTGAATACATCCAGCATTTAGGAAGATCCCAGCCTGATGCAGACTGTATTTTGTTAAGTACTCATAAGTCTGCAGAAGAATGACAGGACCCTGTCATTATTATTTCACCATCAGCCAAAAATCAAAGAAAATAGAAATAATGAGGAAAAAGACCCTACCTTGTTTGAAGCAAAATTTATCTTGCATTCTTTACAAAATGACCTGACGTAAATACTACTTTTAACAAGAATTCTACTGGCTACTTTAAAATTCAAATAATTAAAGTCTTACCAAATAGTAATATGTAGTTAGCTTCTGAAATTCTAGCTGTGATTTGTCTGTAAGTTACATTTTAAAATCACTGTCTCTACTAGAGAAATTAGCAACTGTCATCACAATACAAAACAAGCCCCCTAAGCCCCTGGCAGTCTAAAGCTTAGCACCAGTCCACAGACTTCCTTCCAGTGTTTTAAAACCAACTGTAAGATGAGTCTACTGGCTCAGTATGATAATGATGGTGCATTAAAACGTGTCTGACAATCACCCTTTAAAGGGACACACACACACACACACACACACACACACACACACACACACACACACACACACACACACACACAAAGATGTCGGTAATTCCCAGAATTATCTAAGAAGTAGTCGCCACTCCTGTGGCTCCCAGGTGTTCGGAAACAGAGTGGAACGATCCTTTCGCCGCTCACCTCTGGTCTGAGTGCAAGCACCGCAGTGACAGGCGTCCCTGAGACTAGCAGCAGGAGTCTAGTGCACATGGTAGGTACTAAAGAGCATTAAATGCGATCAGCCTAACACTTCCTATAAACACATCACTATGCACCGAAAACCCCGCCAGAAAGAACAGCTTCTCTCGTGTCGCAGCCACGACACTGGCTGCACGCACACGTCCTTAAACGGTGTGCATCTGCCCGCGCACGGGCCCGCACGTACATGAGCTCGTTGTTCCTGATGATCTTCACGGCCACCTCCTGGCTGGCCCGGGCGTTGTCCCGGGCTCGCACCACGTTACTGAACACGCCCTGCCCGGTGTAGCCGTACACATTGTAGCGCTTGTCCAGGACTTCCCCTATGTTCACACCTGCAGGAGACCAGAACAGGACAGACTCAGTTATGGAACAGCTGCACTCACACACGCTTAGCATCGAGGAGGAGGAAACGGAAATCATTTTAAAATGTTACAAATCTCTCCTACGCACAGCCAGGAGCTCTAGCCACCAGGAGGGAAAGCAGGGGACCCCTTCCCTGAGGGAAACAGCACTTCAAGGCACTCAGTCTGAGAGGGGTCGCGCTCTCAGGACTCCCGCGAGCCAAGCGCAATGTTAGGCGACGCACTCTGCAAACTTTACAGTCAAAGGGGGAACTTACGGTAATAGCCCTCTGCATCCGTCCAGTTATCCCTGAGGTTGGGGTTCTCTTTGAAATCTTTCCCAATGCCAGCAGCCCGGAGGCGAGCACTCTGAAATGAAGGAGGCAACACGAGCTAGGGGACCCTCTTGTTGGGAAGACATGTAAGAATTTCATTCAAAACAAAAGAACACACCGACCATCATTTAATACAGACCTTTTATGTCAAACTCCACAAAATTTACTATCGCTGACATGAATGCAACAATGCAGAGCTGAAACAGCTTGCCAAGTCTCTCATATCACAACAATACTCAAGAAAAAAATGCAAGTATATTAAAAAGCTTTAGGAACACATCTAGAATACTGCAAATGAAAATAAAACCACCACATCCGATTGATTCCCCACAGCTATTTATATTTAAGTCACTTTCCCACTGTCTGATACCAACTTTTAATGCTTTCTGATTTTATTTCAAGAAAAGGCACTGATGAGACTAAGAAGAGGTGAAAGAAGCAAAATTGTTTGAGAATCACCGGTGACATCTTGTTTCTGATGACATAACCACCATTCACATGTTTATAAATGCAAGAAAAAAAGATGTTTCAAGAGTGGCTACGATGGCCCAAATACCAACACTGCACTTGCCTCAGTTGCCTTCTCCCTCTATGCATATATGGGCAGATATTTGTATCGCTACACATTCATTTTGTCTAACATGTGTGTCTGTGATGACTTACAATTACTTACATCAAAATATGCAGCAAACATATCGTCAGACTCTGTAAACATATCGGGCGCCAACAGCTTCTTCTGAGATGAACCTTCAAGGAAATTAACTAACATTTGAAAAATGAAGCAACGGCAATTAGAACAAGTAGTAAGTCAATGGAAAGCCACTAACAGCAACGCAAAGCTACGTTTTGCATCAGCTTTTCATGAGTAATTAAAAATCACTTTTTAACACTTAAGATACTTAAAAGCTACATACTTTTTACTTCACAGATGTGTATTTTAGAAAGCTGAGCCATTTATGACCAGTTTCTTCACATGTTCATATGGTAACAGCTAAACAAAAATAATTAAAATGGCAACGACTGTATCTCTACATAGGCAATGACTGCATCTCTACATACATCTTGAAAAGGTTTAACAACCCCAAGGAAACTGAGCAAAAATTGGGGGAAGGGATGTTTTAAGGGGGAAAAGCAATGGTTTTATGTGCATTTGCCCAACCTCAAGGAGTAATGGGAATTGTGAATTAGAATGATGACGACATACCATTTCCCGCCTGACACTGGTTAAAAATTCCAAAGTGTAGCAACGTTCTGTTAGCAGGCCCTGGATAAGCAAGAGCTAAGACAATGTCTGCGGGATGGCAGTTTGCATGACCCTTACAAAGAGGCTTCCCAGGAAGCACCACACTGTGCTCCTTTGCCCTGCCCTGGCCCAGCGGCCCCACCGCTCGGGAAGTCCCGGACAGCGGCAAGCCACAGCGCACTAGAAGTGGCGCTTCAGAAACAGCCGACGAGCTGCCCAGCCCAAAAATCCACGCTGCACGGCGGGACACGCCTGTCACACTGTAATGCTGCAGCCATAAAAACGAATGAATTATTTCCATGCAGGTGTGTGTAAACAGGTTAAGACACAAAAAGGTTTTTTAAATTAAAACCCCCCAAAGTTAACAATCAAAACCAAATGGAAATAAACCTATCAAACGGGTGCTCTAGGCACAAAGACAGCTACTTGCGATCACTTTAAATTCAGACTTGGGGCTTTACACTTCAGAGCTTATCCCGGGGAGGAAGGAACACTGCACTTTCAGACTGCACCCAACACGCTACATCTTGACAGTGGTGTTGCTAACGACACGGTGGACATTCATGTCACCAGGAGCCAACTCGTTCATTATAAAGGAGGTAAGAAACAGAGCTGGTAAAATCCCCATACCCTCAAGGATGACTCGGCAGCGTCAGCATGAACACCAGCTTCCCCAAAATTGCATTTCCTCACTGTCTTTGTCACTACAAAGGAACAGGCCCTGCGACTTCGAAGAGCATTTTCCAGCACTCGCAGCAAGGGTGCTCGGAGCAGCAGCTGCTGTCCCGGGCGAGGGCGCGGTGGGCCTGGACGGCCAGCGCCACACCAGTCCCAGGACTACAGGCCCTGCTTGGCTCTGCGTGCCCAGCTGTACATTTTTAAAGTATTGAGGAAAAATGTGACGAATATTTTTTTGACACGTGATGATTAAGTGAAATTCAAATTTTGGTTTTCATATAGGGGTTTTTTTTGGGGGGGGGTGTGGGAGGGGGGCAAGGGAGTCCTCCCTGGCTGTGGCTGCTCTGACCACAATAGCAGAGTTTTGTAAGAGAAACAAAGGAGGGAAAGTCTGAAATAATTACAAGAACTATCTGACCTTTTACAGAAAGTTTGCAGACTCCTGTCTTAGGAAGTAAGAAAGCTGTAACACATGCCACAAGGTTTGGGACAAAGACATGAGGAATAAACTTCAAAGGTCTCCATTCCGCCTCATGTGAAGAGAGAACTTAACAGAGCTTCCAAAAGCAAAAAGCGGGCCTCCTGGTGGCACAGGGTAAGTCTCTGCCCATCAAGCTGCTGCCAGCCACTGCCGTTCGAGTAGAAAGAACCCCCAGCCAGAGAGCTGACCCACAGATTGTGCAGCAGGTCTCTCCTGTCCCCCGCTGCTCCCCTAGGCCGGGTGCTTCAGTACACCTGCCTGTTCTGCTCCCCACGCTGTCTCTGGTGAATCTTCTCACCCCTCCATGCCGCTGGCCTACACCCCAGTTGTGGTATTCATAAATAAAAATACATCTCTTACAAACAGCACAGCAAGAACAACAAAAGGTAACGAGCATGTGAAACTAAGGACTGAGTCCAGGTCGCCGGCACGGAGAACACCCTGGGGGCACGTACAGTACACTACTCTGACGTCCGGCGGAGGAGATGGTCCGAATCCCTTTCACTTTTCATCAATCTCAAAATAAACAGATGGTTAAATTACAGAGCAAATGAGAGGAAAAGCAAGGGCAAAAAGAAAATCCACCTTACCATTATTCTGTTCGACGGTCATGAGGTTATGTTTGGCTTTTACCGAGGCCTCAAATGTATCGACATTTTCCCGCTCGTACTCCTTGACGTCAGCAGCCACCCTTTCCAGAATGTCGTCCGGAGAGGGCGACCGCGTGCGAGTGCTGCTCTGGGGGCTGCTGGGCTCAGACGGCACAGACATGTTGCTGTCTTCGGCAAGGTACTTGTATTTCTGTAATCACAGTGCAGTGCGTTACTTTTGTAAAGCCTGGTGCGCTCTGACCGTATTTGCTAAGAGGCGCCGAGTTGAAAAGCGAAGAGCCAAATGTTTAGAATGTTTTAAAGGTAGCAATGCCTTGGTTGAATCAGATCCACAATCCCTTTGCCATCCGGAACCCACGAGGCCTGAGGAGCCCCGTTGCCTGGTGCACCTCGACTGCGCGCCGGCTGTGCGTGCGCCCCGGCGCGCCCGGCACGCCTCGCCACACGCGTCTGGGCTGGGTGCCGTCCTCCAGCCGCGTGGGGCTGCAGAGCATACACAGACGCACCATATTCATTACCTTTCTACATTTCAAATATTTCTGAGTTCTGAAGCACATCTGGCCCCAAAGGTTGGAGATAAGGGATTGTGGACCTGGGCAAGAACAAAAAAAGATGCAACCAAGTCTTTAGAGGTAGATCTTACAACAACAACAACACACGCTGTGGCAAGAGGCTTCCCCTGGAAGCCCAATCCTGCCCTCCATCTGGTGACGCGGGCTTTGTCCTCTGCGGACATGTCCGGCTAAGCGAGCGGCTGTGGCTCACGACGGCTTTCTCAGTGCGGCTAAGGGAAACCCAGCATCGCCCACAAACATCACCCGCCCTGCTGAGCCACCGCCGTAGGAAGACTTACATGGCACGCCCTTTCCCCACCCAATTTCCTGATTATTTTTGAGCTATCCATTTAATGAGGTCATTAGAAAACTTACCATTACTTATGAGACAGGTAAATTTTTTTTACATAGTAACAGGCCATATTGTTTTTGCTAAACAGAATCCCTCAAATATCTACTTCATGTTCATTTCTTGTTCATTAACTTAAAGTGAACTTCAACTCTGTCTCACAGAAGTGTTTTATATTAGAATCCAATGGATAACAAAAAGGGCAATCATTTCAATTTTATTAACTGAAAAAGTAATACTTTTTCTTATCTCACAAAGAATTTTATATACTCTTGTTTTTTTCAAGATCACTCAAACTGTTGAGTAATCAGAGTGCTGGTCAGGAGATCTGTTGAGACCTCACTCCGCGTACCTGCACGATCGCCTGCCGCTGAATTCGCCGCTGTTCTATCAGGGCCTCTTCATCTTCCTCCTCTACATCAAAGTCTTCAAGGCTTAAAAACATTGCACAGGCACACAATGAATCCCAGACATGCCGGGAGAGTCGAACTTCACACTCTAAAACTAACTTAAAAATTCAGACCATTAAGTTTGGTTAAAAGTCTTAACGGCCTCTCATGCCCTTTCCCCTGTTTCTAGCTGGTCTCAGTGGCCCACTGGCATACTGGCAACTAATCAAACCTGTTTCTGTTACCCCTTGTCCATCTCCTGGCACGGAAACGGGAACAGCAGGGATTCCCTACGTCCCCAGTGGCTCTGCTTGTATTAGGTGAGCTCATCTCACTGCTCTAGTCTCAGTCCTTGCGCCTATGAGCTCGAGGGCTGAGACAGGTGGGCCACTATCCATTCTGGGTCACAGATCTCCCAGAAAGCCCCAGGTCCTTTCTCCAGCAAACATGTGCACACACGATCTAAAGAGGAATGCACGTAAACACTGCTCCCTACCCCAACTGTCCTCTGGGGGACCTCCCTGATGGCAGAGGGGCTGTCTCAGCACTATCGCCCCTATGGCCTGATTCCGTCTGGTCAGGGAGCCGACCCACATGGCACAACAGACTTCTCCTGTCTCACCCAGTGCTCCCCACTTTGTCTGAGGGGAACCCTCTCACCCCCCCAAACCTCTGGCCCGTAGCCCAGTTCTACCATGCATAAATGTAAACAAACAAACAAGTCCCTTAAGAGCTCCTCTACAGCCTCTGAAACCCTTCCCAGCACAGCCTTCTCTATCAAGTGCTCGATGGTCGCTGCAGACAGGCAACCCGTGCTCTATCAGGACCCTCTTCCACCCGTCCACTTCGGCTCTCTCATACACAAAAACTTAACTCTTTCAATTTAAAGGAACAAAAGTTAACTGGCTCATTTATGATATTCACATGGGAATTATAAAGATTTTCACATAAACCAGTTGTTGTCTCAGCTGGAAAAAGGAAAGTACAGGCAAGGTGCCTTCTTACTTATCGTCAGACGACGACTCCTGCTCAACCTTCATTCCTTCAGACAGGCTGCCTTTGAACTTGTCCTCCTTCACTTTGCTTCTGCTCCTCCGTCTACGACCGCCCCGGGATCGAGACCGCCTTCTCAAGCGTGACCGGCTCCTCCGACCTCTGTCTCTGTTTGAAGAGAAAGGCCAGGTGAACATCTGTGCGAGGTAACGAAACGGGGCGCCTGTGGGTGCACTAAGGCAAAGGTATACAGGAACGCTGTACTTTTAAAAAACTGTTTGCCTCCAAACTGAAACTGCTCTAAAAAACCAGCCTGCTGTTTTTCAAAGGGTCAAATAAAAATTTAAAAAGTAAAACAGAGGATCAGAGAGGCAGATGATGAGCTTACATTAGTATAATTCAAACACAGCTACTGTTCTCATTGACTGTATACAGGGCAATGATGACTATGGTGATTGTTACTGTAAATGTCTGTCAAAATTAACAACTAACACCAAAAAAGGGTGAATTATTTTATGCAAACAGTACATTAAAATAAACCTGATTTGAAAGATTGCTGCTGATAATGTATGAGAACAACAAATGGGACAAAAATTCTCATATGGTACTCAGACATTTTATAAATGCCTAAATGTTTTGTCTCATGTTAAACAGAAACTTATTGTAGTGTAAACATTAAAACTGGAGCTTACAAAAGAAAAACAAGGTCCCTGTTACTGTCACATGTGACCAGGTTTATCTGCAATCTCTTCTGAAATCTCTATGAAAGTCTCGGAAAATTACAGCGTGTGACAAGAGCTGACAGCAGAGGGCGCCAACAAGCCCTTGAAAGGCGCCGCATGAACAGGCGCAGCAGCAGGTAACTTACACAGGGTCCATAAGCTCATCAGCACATGCAGCGAAACCACCGGTCTCCTCAGCGGGAGGTCCTCTATCCGCTAAAGGATGGCGTGCAAGGCGGAGGCACGACAAGCTAACTGAAAGCTACTGAGAAGAGCCAGGCTGTGTCTTTCCCTTGCTATTTTCTGGGAAATGCCAACATTCACGTTCTGAAAAGATTCAGTCGACTGAGAGCTGGCCATCAAGGTGCCTCTTGATCAGTGTGGAGGACCAGAGCCTGCAGCGAGGGCCACGCTCTCTGACAGATGTAAGGATTGTGGAAAGCCATGAAGTCAGAGATGACTGATGAGTCAAGGCTCTTACCTTCTTGACCTAAAGTGACATCCACTCATCACAACTCCACATAGTCATACTGGACGAAAGCTGCCTTTTAGCTTCTTTGGAGCCTAACAACTAAATTGGACAGGAGCAAGGGGTGACATTCAGCTATTTGAGAAAAGTCTTCAAATGAAAAGGTAAACAAGCAACACAAAAGGAATCAGGAAGGGGGAAAAAAAAAGGCCAACAAGTCACCAAGGTCTTGGGAAAACAGGAATAAAGAAAGAGAAAATCTACAAGAATGAGAACAAAAGTATAAACATAAAGGAGAAGTTAGGAAAAAGGAGGAGCGGAACAACGATCTAAAAGGCCCAACAGGGAAAAATCAAAAACAATGGAAAAAGATAGCAAATGGGAACAGAAACAAAACAGAAAATTTCTCAGAAATATCCCTGGCGTAAGGGGCTATCTAGTGCCAAGCAAACACAGTGGGGAAAAAAGCTCGACACTCAGGTACTAATAAGTGAAATTTCAGAATACAGGACGTCACATAGTGAGCAAGACAAGAAAAGAGTTCTTTAGGAAATGCTTAGGCTTAATACTAGACACGAGCCACGGGACAACTTCAAAACTCTGAAGGAAAAAAAGTCAATCTGGCACTTTATTCTTTGACAATAAACAAGGAGAATAAAAGGCATTTACTGCAGACAGGCCACCGCCCTCCCCTCAGGAGGCTGCTGACGATGCACTGCAGCAAGCAAGGTGTGGAACACCGGCAGCCTGGACACAGGGCTGCGAGCACAGCAGGGCGGCTGGACACCGGCGGCCAGTCTGGGCAGCGCAGGACACAGGCCTGCCGGGCGGGCTGCACCAGAGGCCAGAGCGTTAAAAGGAGGTCCTCTCTCCTGCTGCTCCAACGCCCTGCCTGCTAAACACAGGGTCACGATACCACGCTGTATCTGGAAGCACGCAGAAGCCTGGTGAAATCCGGCCGAAGAAATACATGTGAGGGGCAGTAGTAACAAAAACTAGGCGATGAATGGATACAGCAAGAACGTCAAAAAATTCAAACATCTCATTTTAAAAATACGTGTCTACTTCCGGGAAGTTACTTTACAAAAACACTCAAGAGTAGGCCCTCCCTGATGGCACAATGGGTTAGGACACAGCATGGCAAGCTAGCGGCAGCTGCTTCGGTGCTACTTCGATTCCCTGCTGGAGGTGACCCCCTGGCGCGGCAGACCTCTCCTGACCGCCTGCTGCTCCCCGCAGCAGTGTACTTCATCGATCTGCCTGTTCTGCTCCCTGCTCTGTCTCTGGTGAATCCTCTCACTACCCCTGCTACTTTGGCTCATACCCCAGTTCTGTATGCATAAATAAATCTTTAAAAAAAAAAAAATCCCGATTCTCCTGACTTCTATTACATATAGCTACTGTTCGTTACACAAGCCTTAGTATGCTTTCTTTTGAAAAAGTCATGGATTACTTCAAAACAAAACCTAACTATTTACTTAAAAGAAAATTTTATTTTCATGTAGAAGAACTGGGGTGTAGGCCAGAGGTGCAAGGGGTGAGAGGGTTCACCACAGACAGAGTGGGGAGCAGAGCAGGCTGATCTACTGAAATACACTGTGGAGGGGAGAAGCTGGGAGACAAATCTGCTGTGCCACGTGGGTCGGCTGAAACTCAGGCTGTCATGGTGGCAGAAGTGAGCCATAAGCCCTAGGCCACCAGGGAGGCCCTTAAGTCTAACTCATTTAATATTTATCTCCTTTACAAAAACAGAAAAAAGAGTAAATCAACATTTATTTAAATATGAAAGGAAATTGTATTAAAGAAAAACAAACGTGTGAAGTATCTCATACTGATAAAGGAAACCATAGGGATTATGACACAATTTTTCACAGAAAAATAATCTTTACGAAAACTACCAACTGAGCGCCTGCCTGGTGGTGCAGTGGTTAAAGACAGTGCTATCAAGCTACTGACAGCCACTGCAACATGAGTTCAATCCCCAGGCAGGGAGCTGAGCCACAGGGCGCAGCAGACCTCTCCCTGACTCACCTACTTCTCCCCTCAGCAGTGTTTCCGTACATCTGCCTCTTTCTGCTCTCCACTGTGTCTGATGGATCCTCATATGCCCAAGCCCCTCTGGTGTACACCCCAATTCTTGTATGCGTAAATAAAATCTTAAAAGAAAAAAAATAAGGAAACTACCAACTGAGCTAGTGAGATTCAAAACCATTCAGTTTACTGAATCAAAAGAATAACATATGAATGCCTCCCTGGTGGCGCAGGAGTTAAGCCTCAGCACTACCAAACCACTGCCCGCCACAGCGGTTTCACTTCCATCCCCGGCCAGGGAGCTGACCCACGAGGCACAGCAGACCTCTCGTCTCCCTCCTGCCCCCCTCAGCAGTGTGTTTCAGTCATTCTGGCAGTTCTGTTCCCCACTCTGTCTCTGTTCCACACCCCACTTCTTATGTACACATAAAGAAAGTCTTAAAAAAAAAAGGATTAACACATAGACCATCTATTTACCTTCTCCGAGGAGACCGGCTTCTTCTTCTTGGAGACCTGCTACGCCTGAGTGGGGACCGAGACCGCCTCCTAATAGGAGATCTACTTGTTCTTCTTCGAGCTGGAGACCACCTACTGATGGGGCTGGCATCTTTTGATCTTTCCCGTCTACTGAGGATGTCATCTCGAGGTCGTGTTCTTAAAGGGGACGCCAAACACAAGTTAACAGAAAAAGCAAATCAAGTCAAAACGCATTTCTTCTACATGTAAAGGGCACGCTAACTTAAAAGTGGTAAACAGATTAACAAGTTTTGTAACAAAACTTAAATTCAGGGGATCACAGTGACACTTCATTGTTATGGTAAGCACAATAAATTTCCTCTTATCTTATAAAGATTAAAGATAAAGATTATCCATAGCTAAAGCCACTAATTAGTCAGATAACCTAAATAAAACTTGCCCAAGTGATTTGTAATATTCTATTACCTCAGTATGAAGATCAATTTCCTTTCTTAATGTCGATGATTTTTACCAGTAAGTCTCACATTTTAACAAATCTTATTTTAAATACGCATATTATTATTAATAGCAGCATCTTATAATCAACTTTCACCTTGAGCCCCAGAGGAGCAATCAGAAAGGGTTTAAAGGCTTAAGGAAACATCTAGTTATGGAAGCAGAAAAATTGACACAATGACAAAATTTCTGGAAGGAAATTTGGCAGTAACTTTCTAAAATACATGTCACCTTATACTTGGCAATTAATTCCTTTTCTATGAATCCAATCTGCAAAGAAACCTCATCCATAACCAAATATCTTTGCATACAATAGGGGAAAAACTAGAGCCAACCTAACTCTCCACTGTTGCCAATAAGGGGCTGATTAAATACAGTGCACAGGGCCCTCCCTGTGGTGCAGTGGGATAAAGCACAGAACCATGAAGCTACTGCAGCCATTATATCACGAGTTCGATCCCCAGTCAGGGGGATGACCCACAGGGTGCGGCAGACCTCTCCTGACCTACCCACTGCTCCCCTCAGCAGGATATTTCAGATCTGCCTGTTCTGCTCCCCACTCTGTCTCTGGTGAATTCTCTCATCCCCCACACCTCTGGCCTGTACCCCAGTTTTATATGCGTAAATAAATAAATCTTAAAAAGAAAAAAATACAGTGCACCTACACTGTGCCATACCATGCTATTATACAAGAGTGAAAAGATCTTCAAGTATAATCATAACAAGTGAATCATTGTTAAAAAGAATAGCAAGGCCCCATTTTTGTAAGAAAAAACATTCATACAATTGTGTGTCACAGAATAAGGGTTAAAGAACATAAACTTCTAGGTGTGATCAAAGAGAGGATTCACAGTTTTCCACATTATTTGAATTTTTCCTTTCATTAGCAGGTACCTCTTCCATAAGTAACAAAAACAGTTTTTGTTTCAGTCACTCAACTCTACTCCTTAGCAAACACCTCAAAATTTTGTTTTTCAAACTGAGAGCAAATTTAGAGGGACAGGACATGGCCCAAGAAGGGCCACTTCAGCTCGTGCAATCATGCTAGTCTCTGTGCAGCAAGCAAGAGGAGGAAGGGGCCGTTTCATGGCCGTCACTCAGAAGAACCTCAGTATCAAGATAGCACACTCTGAAAATAGCATTCCTGAAATTTCTCTGAAGAAGATGTAAGCTTCAAGGCCACCATATTTATACCTACACAGTAAATATTAACATCAAACAGTACATGGACAAGAATTCAAAATATCTTTCACAGTTTATAGCAACTTTTAAGAGAAACTTACTTATAATTTTCATAGGCCTAATTACTAATGACATATAAGTAAGTCTCTAGGTTAGACTAGTCAAAGCATCCCCTCACACAAATTCTTCTGCACTGAACTACTTATTAGTTCTAAGACCCTACGTAAGTCAAATAACCTCTCACTCTATTTTTCCCTTTTAAATATTAAGTATGAGAATCACCCCCACCTCATGAGTAGAAATAATGAGAATTACGAGGAAAGAATGGATTGAATGTACTCAATAATTCATACTAGACAAGTTAAATCCTCTCTTCCACCATTCTTCTGAAACTTGTAACTATTTTTTTCAACAATAAGATGTATACAAATTAGTAGCAGGGGAAAACAAATCTCATTTTAAATTTAATTATGTATTGAGGGTCAAAAATTTTCAATTGATAATGCTAAAATTAGAAATCATGCAAATTCAGGAATGGCTAGATTACAATCTTGAAACTGACATTAAAAATTTTAGCCTAGGGGCTCTCCCTGGTGGTGCAGTGGGTTAAAGCACAGCACTAAGAAGCTCAAGCCACTTCAGTGCGAGTTCGATCCCCACCCTGGAGGTGACCCACATGGCACAGCAGACCTCTCGTGACCCGCCTGTTCATCCCCTCAGCAGTGTACCTCATCAATCAGCCTGTTCTGCTCCCCAACTATAACTCTAGTGAATCCTCTCACTGCCCCTGCACCTCTGGCCTGTACTCCAGCTCTGTATGCATAAATAAATCTTAAAAAAAAAAATTCAGCCTATATAGGTGACTACAAGGAGAGGATGTGATACCTATACACGATGAAATATTATTCAGCAATCAAAAAAGATAAACTCATGTCTTTTGCGGAAACATGGATGGAGCTGGAAGGGATCCTGCTCAGTGAAATAAGCCAGAAGGAAAAAGAAAGGTACTGGATGGTTACACTCATAGCAGCAGTGTAAGGGGTCAGGGGGAACGAAAAAGGCAATTGTAATAAAGGAAAAACCAAAAACAGTGGTAACTATAAGCCAGAGACGTTCTATGGGGTGGAGAGGGTAACAGGATCAAAACTAGGGTGGGAAGAGTGCATGGGACTATGGTGATGGTACATGGGTGAAATGGTGGCGGGAAGTCCATGGGGATTACAACCAAAAAAATGCACAAAATAACATAGACACACACACACACACACACACACAAATTTCAGCCTTATTGTTCAATGAGTAGTCCTTGCTCTATAAAATTCCCCCGTAAGTGGGTATCCGTAGTATGCAAATTATTTGGATAAAGGAGTGATTCTGACAATTTTAGATACTAAATTGAAACTTTTAGTAAAAAATACTAACCTGTCACCAAGTTTTGCATTTGTAAATCATCCAATCAAGATACCAACAAAGTACAAATATTAACACAATGGACCACTATCTTATTGACCACAAGTTCTAGTTTCTCCTCTGAAGTCTGGCGCATCGGTTAAGAAAGCATTACAATTTGAAAACAAGTTACCTTGGAGAAGAAAGTCGTCTCCTCTCTGGTTCTCTTCTTTTTCTTTCCAAGGATCGGCTCCGGGCTCTTCTAGGAGACAGAGTTCGAGAAGGTGACTTGCTCTGCTTAGACCTTCTGTCATTTAAAAGTGGCGATCTGCTTCTTCTCGATTTATCACGTGGTCTTGGGGTCAAACTTCTTCTCTTCGGACTGCGACCAGGTCTTCTGCTGGGTGACCTGTTTTCTTTCCCAGAGGAGGCATCTTTAGAGGGAGATTTAATTGGCTTCTTTTCTTTATCAGTTTCAGACCGTTTTGATTTTCTTTCTTTGGACCGTGACCTTCTATCTTTGGATTTCCCTCTTAAGTCTATCGGGGATCTGGATTTCTTGCCTCGATCACGACTTCTACTTTCATTAATGATTGGGGATTTTTTCCTATCCTTTGATTTACTTTTATCTTCAACTTTTACCTTGTCATCAGGGGGAGATCTAGCTTTCCCAATTTTCTCTTGAGACCGCCTTCTAAGGGTGGGAGATTTTGACTTCCTTGTTTGATCTTGAGACTTGCTTCTTTTGGACGGACTTTTGGACTTTTTCCTCTCTTTCGACTTGCTCCGAGCGGTTTTCTCCTTAACTACTTCAGCACTGCCCTTACTTTTCTTTTTATCAGACCTGTGTCTAGTCCGTTCTTTGGATCTGCTTTTACTCCGCTTTTTTGTACTATTTTTATTGTCCATAAGTTCAAGTTTCCCCTTTGCACTGGAAGATCTAGTGCTAGACCTATTTCCATTTCTTGCCTTTTCATGAATCTCCCCTTCTTCTTCTGAGCCAGACTCATAGCCTTGTAATATGAGTCCCATCCCAGACTGGACCTTCCCTTCCATTAACTCATTATCAAGTTCAGCTTTAATCAAGGCTCTTTGCTTTTCTAAGTCTTCCAGCAAAGCTAAATCATCAAGTTTAGTTCTTTTTGCTGGAGACATACCTTCTTTGTCAGAGGCATCAACAACCTCTTTTCTTTTGTGTTTCTTATGCTTATGCTTATGTTTATGTTTTTTATCTTTGTCTTCTTCTGAGGAATGTTTATGTTTCTTATGTTTATTTCTGTGTTTATGTTTCTTTTTTTTGTGACGACTGTGCTTATTTTGAGATTGGTCTTCTGATACCTCTCCATTTTCTTCGTTTACACTCTTTTCCGAATTATCAGCTTCTTCCACCCTACAAATATATCACACACATTTTAAAACCATATCTTATCTACAACATTCAGTCATAACAAAATAACAACAAAAAAATACACCTCGATGTGTTACATGAAGTCAGTCGCTGAAGTACTTTCAAAATATTTTCGGGTACGTTATCTCACCAGTTTATGGCAAGCACTGGGTGACTAAATTTAACTGTCGCTGATGGCTGAATTAAAACACCAAGTATAAGAGGATGAAGTTCGGCCGATTTGTCAATTAAAAAAAAAAAAAAGGGGGGAGCCCAAACCAGGAACAATAAAATGCCATTCATGCTGATTAATTAGTTAAGCTTCCCCTCAGAAACATGATCTTTAAACCTGCATTTCCCACACATATTAACACATCAATGTTTAGATATGTTGGGAGACGAATCCTTTTCTCCACTTGAAATTTGGGAGAATGCCTTTCGTTTTCTTTTCTTTTAGTTTCTAGAGCCAGTACTGAGCCACGCTCCAAACAAGGCACTCCATCAAGGTGCAAAGGGGCTTATAACACGCCCCAGGGTTAAACTCCAAGCGAGTGAGCAGGAGTGAGAACTGTGTGCAGCAGCCACATGTGCGGTGAGGATGAGCCACGCCAAAGGCCGTGCTCTGCACGTCAACAGCACACGCCAACCATTTTATGTGGTTTAGCCCAGTATTTGTTGATCAAACAATTTCATCTCTAAATTTCAAATGAAATACCAATTTCCCAAAGGTGGATATTAACAGGTCACGCAAAAAATTTTAAATTAAAGTGTGGTTTTGGTCTTCTATTAGATCTCTGGACTACAGTTGAGTTTAAGAATCTATGGTTCTAAGTGACTGGGCTAAATCCTTGCTGTTTGGTAATTCCATGTGAAACAAAGGCTACAAAAATAGCATGGTGTAATTTGTCCTTTAAAGTCAGTCCATATTCTATCATCACATACGCGAATATGAGACCCAAATCAACTTAAAACTCAAAGTTCAGAAACACTAGAGAATGAGTAAGGAATTAAAGGGGGAAGGGGCATCTTAGAGGAAAAGCGGCTGACTATAGACAGTTCTTTATGGCAAACGTCCAGCTCTTCTAGCCAGGAGAGCAGTTGTGTGAGAAACTGTTCTAACGGAGAAGGCGAGACACAGCTAAGTGCCACGCCAGGTGACAAGAGAGCATGACACTGGCAAAGAGGTTGAGACAGAGAGGCTCACTGGAGCTGGAAGCCCAGGGCTGCAAGGTGAGGCTACCAGATGGGCTGTGTGTGATGATGCCGCCAGTGCAAGCACATGAGCAGAATGTGAAGAGAGGGCCCTCCCAGGGGGGCAATGGGTGAGAGCGCAGCACTGCAAGCTGGCAGCAGCTGCCTCAGTGAGTCCCACGCCCAGCCAGCGGCCATCTGCGTGGTGCAGCAGACCTCTCCGGACCTGCCCGCTGCTCCCCTCAGCAGTGTGCTTCAGTCCAGCCTCTGGTTCTGATCTCCACTGTCTCTGGTGAATTCTCTCACGCTCCCCCCCCACCTCTAGCCTGTACCCCATTTCTGTATGCATAAATAAATAAATCTCAAAAAAAAAAAACAAAAAAAAAACTGAACAGAGGCCTGGTCCTCCAGCCAGGCCCCAATCTTCAATAAGTGTATGGGGAGCAACACTTGAAATATTGGGTGAAAACCACGAGGGGGTGGAGACCACATGGCATGAAACTGAACTCTGATTTTTTGCTGTCAGTTAGCCCAGTCCCCGTTTCTGGCATATGGACTGTAAGGGAGAAAAAGGGTTAAAGGCTGCTGCAGAGAACACTTGGTCCTCTCCAAATGGGGTAGAAAGTAGGATAAATGTAGTGCTCACGTTCTCTGGGTCATTACATTTTCTTAAAGATTGTGAAAAAGAAGACTACCACCTTTGTACTTAAAAGGCCAACAAGGCTCCAGCATGAAGGGAAGAAATGAAAACATGCCAGCCTCGTTCCTGTGGCAGCTAGTCCTTCACAGGGTCACCACTCTTCCTGGCCAGAAACTTCCTACCCTACAATCTGCAAAGTGGACTATGCCTTTTCCCCTGAATCTTGACCTACAGGAGAAGTCCAACAAAAACTGAATTTGGCCCATTCAAAATACAGACAGGGATAATGTAGGTTGATCATGATTTTGAAGTATACAAAACTTAAGAGCTCCAAGTACAAAAGTCTAGTCAATAAGCTAAAACTCAGACTCTCTAAACCCTCACTGTTCACATGACAAAGCAGTTGGGTGGTTCAGCAGTCTCAAAACAAACTACCTGGGGTCCTGCTGCTTGGGCAACTTAAAGAGTTCGTGCTCTCGCTCTGCAGAAATATAGCTATAAAATGAAAAAGACAGCTCCTGTGTCAAAGCACAGGTTGCATGGGGTTGATACAGGTGTTACGGCTTCTAACGGTGGCTTAGCATGAACCAACTGCCAAAAAGCAAGCTGTAATTATCATTCAGATCCTGGATACATATATTTACAGGAGTCAACATTCTGGAGATGGCAGGCCAGATCTAAACACGGTATTTTAAGAGTACTGTCAATGAACACTGAGTCTAGAATCGAACTCCCTGTCAAATGTTGCTTCCAACATGACACAGTAGTGTAGTCCCAAGTTACTACTCTGTGTCTTAGTTGCTCAACTGCAAAAGTTGGGGGAACTGACAGTACCGTACATTGAAGGCCTGTTGCAGAAATGAATTCTGCACCTATAAAAGACATCACACAAAGCTGAAGAAATACCGAGACTCCTCCCTCGCCTGGCCCCAGCTACACTTCTCTCTCCTGAACAAGTCCACAACCCACCTTCCCGGCCACTGCACAGCAGGCAGTGTGCAGGGACTTGCTTCCTCTGGCTGGGGCGCTTGCTTCAGGTGCGCACGCTGCTGGTTCCTCTACCTCCTCTGCTCAAATGATGCTTTCCTAGTCAGTTTTTCTGAACCAATTCATGTTAATTGCAATCCTCACCCTACCGCACACATATTCCCTTTGGTGGTTAATTTTTCTCCAAAGTAATTGTCACCACCAAAAATAATTGTCTCCATTATATCATAAGCCCTATGACAGCAGAATTTTAATCTCAGTTCAGCGCTCTATCCCTGAGGTCTAGAAGATTAGCTACTCTATAGAAGGAAGGTACTCAGTTTTTGCCACACCAATGACATGGTTTATGGGGTATATATCAAAGATGCTTCATTAGACAAAAGCTCAGTCACAGTGGCACCTAGACGCCTTGCTCTTGATAGTAAACATTTCTGGTTTTGCTCTTGTATCTCCAGTGCCTCATAAAGCAGGCATACAACTATTAGTTGAATGCAATACCCAAAATGATCTGAATTTCATCACCTTTCCACGAGAAAGATATGCTCTTTAAACTTCTTTTTTTAACTAGTGGTTTATATAATTTTTAAGTATCCCAAGGAGTTTCAAGACAAATTCTTAAGAGTCTTATCATGAAAACAGTAGTTTCTTTCCAAAGAAAAGCTAGCTGCTGGAGCTTGAGAATTGGGACCCACATCCTCCTCCTCAAAGTAAATTTCATAGAAACTAACAACTGAAATCTGATCAGGTAAATCTGGAAAACTGGAATTCAGTCCATGGCATAACATCTTACACAATGAACTACTACTCCAGTAACTAAGGCAAATTACCAACAACTTTCTTAAGAAACTCAGGTCTTCGCCCATAGTTCTTATGAGTAACTGTATAAAAGTTTCACATATATGAATTTACATCTTGCAACCTAGTTAGCTTAAATTGCTTCATTTTTTAATTGTGATAACAATGGCTACTCAACGCCATACATGGAGCATGTAAGGTCTATCCAAACGTGGTCTACTAAAGGTTTATCATAAATCAATACTTGAGAACTGAGTAACATGTTCCAAATCACCTTATATGAAACAGTGCTGAATTTGAAGTGCAGACAGACAATACTGCTAACAGTATTTATTCATTTATTCTTTTTATTAAATACAATGTGCAAGTTTTAATCCTTCGAACAGCCAAAATCTTGGGCATCTGGCACAATGGAAAGTCACGGAAAAACTTCAAAAGAAAATAAAGTACCAGTTAGCAACAACCAGTGTTATTTTAACTTCTATTTCACAAACTTTTTTCAAAGAACATTCTTAATGAACTTTACTTGAGAGCCATTCAATTTATGCTTTGGAATGGTGAGCAAACTGAATGTCAACTTTTTTTCTTATGAGGAAAATAAGTCTGTTTCTCTAAGAAGGCAAAGTGCCACACATAATTAATGTAGATGTAGCAATAAGAATGAACCCAAAGGCCCACTGATCATCAAGCAAACCCCGCCACCCTTACCTCTTTCAAATGTTTGAGAAGTTAAGTTTCAAAGAATTAGATCTATCACAACAATAAGCAGCCCCTTCTGGGATGCTGGAAATAAAATGATCTCAAGCTTGAAAGGTTATTTTTACAAGGAGTGACAATGTGCACCAGATCAGACTACAGTATTTATGGGCCAGGTTCTAATATCAGACAGCCCACATTTAAATCCTTGGCCTATCATTTCAGTGTGGCCCTGGGTAAGTTCATTTAATTTTCCTGTGTTTTATCATCTGTAACATATGGGACATAACAATATCTACCTTCATTGGACTGTTTTAAGAGTACAGTCAGTCAGTATTTATTCAATGCTGTGAATAGCATCTAGCATAGTGCAAACAAGCCAATACATGTAAAAATTTTAAATCTGCAAAAAGAGACTGAAAAATGTAAAAGCCATTTAAAAGCCTGCGGGTGGCTTAAAACCTGTTTTTCATAACTTATTTTTTAAGTTTTTTCTAACTATTGATAGGTTCCATATAATTGTAACCTTTCCTGTGTCCTCTCTAAAGAGCTGCTTAGCCAAACTCCAGCATTCACTACAAACTTCCACATTAAACATTTTTTGAAAGTGAAAATGGGATATACACAGCCCAAACATTCCATATATTCCAAGTGTTTGTGGGTCAGGAGAAGTGGAATTAAAGACTTATTTAGTGTCATTCACACAGGAAAAGGGATGAATGTTATTAAGCCTAGTCTCTGAATACATAAATGATTGAACCTTTCCTCAAAATTAATGAATCGCCCCTGAAAATAAACGGACAAAATACTATAGAACCTTTCACAGATTACTAGAAAAGTCAGCTGCAGAGCATTAAGAGTGTTACTGTATTGGCATAAACGCTGTTACAGTAACTGTAAACTCTATGAGAAACAAAGAAACAAAGTCTAATAACAACTTTCAAACCCACGTGTTCCAGTATGTCAAACTGGGAAAGAGATATTAAGGCAGCTTTCAAAAGTCCTTAACAGTAAAATCAATGATTCTCTGTCCAGCTGAGTAAGCTTACTGAGCACATAACTGGACGGACAGCAATTAAGTAGTGCTGGGCCTTCTGGTGGCCAAGATTTCTCCTATCTCTTAGTTCCAAGTTGCTGGGAGACTGTCTACCTTTCCTTAAGAAGGGCAGACACAAATCAGATAATGCCAAGGCAAAAGAGGGGCCACTCCAGGAATACCTTTTAAGTTCTTGTTTGAGTTCTCCTAGCATAAACGCGGGGGTGTGGATGGGGGTGGTGGGGGTGGGACAACAGCCAACAAACGCAACTGCTGCCTTTTCAGCCTATACAAGAAGTTCGTTTTCACTTGGTCTCATAAATTCTTAATTCTCTTAATCACAGCCATGAAGCGCTTGGGTTTGGAAGGGGCTAACGACTTCCACTACTCTTTCCACTCGGACTCTCAAAGAAGAGTTACAAACCCATGCTGAGACTGCCAGGCCCCCAAACCGACGACTTGATCTTACTTTGCCTTAAGTTTGCAAGCTGGCAACTAAGCTGCCACTAGGCTGGGTGGGACAGAGCGGGTGGCTACTGGAGCCCTGAGCCACGGGGCGGGGAGATGAAAGATCCCGCTCGCCACAAACCTCAGCTCCGGGGCATTCAAAAGGGGGGTGGCCTTAGCACGCTTTCTCCGTGGCACCCACGGCCGGACGGCCCGGGGCACCGCAGGCGAGTGAAGTCTTCGGCTGGCTCCGACAGCGATGCAGCGGGGTCCGGCTACCGGGGAGCGCGGCTGGGTCCCCGCGGGAGGACCCAGAAGGCGCGGACGCACCGCCGCCTCCCGTTCGGGACCTGTAGAGGCCGCTCGCGCCTGCGCCTCCCTGGGCAACGCCGCGCGCAGGCCG